CGAATCACGCGCCTGGTGCTGGTGGTGGTCGCCGTGTTTGTGGTGTGCTGGACGCCCATCCACATCTTCATCCTGGTCAAGGCGCTGTCGGCCAACGTTCCCGAGACCACCGCCGTCATGGCCGCCTACTTCTTCTGCGTGGCGCTGGGTTACACCAACAGCAGCCTCAACCCCATCCTCTACGCCTTCCTGGATGAGAACTTCAAGAGGTGCTTCAGGGACTTCTGCTGCCCCGGTGCCAAAGGACACGGGGACTGCCAGGGGGTGAGCCGGGTGAGGAGCACCCTGCGGGACCACTCGTGTCCCACTGAAGCTCGGGGAGATGTAAGGCAGGCCAGGCCTGTATGACTAGCCATGGACATGTCCTCTTTGCCCTGTCAGGGCTGGGAGGACTCCAATGACCTGGGTTTGACTCAAATTACCACTGCCATCTAACGGAGAGGGCTAGTTTCTATGTACTTATCCATAATTGCTGGCCAGAGAATTCAAAAGCATGTTGGTTTAAAGGATGTTCTACATTTTTCTTATTGACAACAAATCCCATGTAAAGACCAAAACCAACAATGGACAGATTCTACTAAACCCTGATATATTTTATTCCTCCGCCGTTGTTAAAAAACTATGAAAAATACATCAATGAGGCACACTGTTGCACCGGGCGACGTGTTCCTTCATCACATGTCATAAACAAGCACTGTCATTATTTTTGACTTAATCCTCCTGTAAATTCCCACTGCATCACCAAACATGTATGAATCCACCACTGAAAATAGTCCCCCAACATAGGCCTAATTGACTCCTGTTTGTGTATCGTTAAAAAAAACAAAAAAACAGTCCCCCATCATTTTTAGAAAACTACTGAGCCTTTTTGGAAAATTAAACTATATGTTTGTGACCTGTTTACATCTTCTGTAGGAACCAGTGTGCCACAGCCAGGGTAGGGATATAGGGAAGTATTTAGAGACAGACACATTGTTGGGTTTGGTCTTATCGCGGGACATCCTTTAAGGTGAAGTTTAGATTAAACACCGATGACATAGTGATGATTAAAGTTCAAAGATGCCTCTTGTATCACCGCCCAGTTAGATCCTGAGTCATTGTATAGTGTGCATAATTTATGAGCTTCTGAGGAAATTGAAGCTCAGTGTATTTATCACATAGTGTATATCAACAATGAAAAGATGATGGAAGATGTCAAACAAGGCAAACCAAAAGTATTTTGTTGTGTAGCTATATTTGCATTTTGTTAACCTGATCTGTAAATTGTCAAGTGATCAACTAATATTTTGTGCACAGAATAAAAAAAATTATAATTGTCCCTGAATTAGTTTCAGGAACAGCCCGCAGCATGAGCATTGTTTTACACGAACTGCGTTTTAAGTGAATTGTAGTTTGGTGCCTAGCTGTACTGTAAATTTGTACATAGCCTTTGAAGGGTCTCGCTTTGGCAGTAAACCTATGTAGGATACTTAATAACCTCTCAGGGATCATCCTCTGTAATTCACCGCAAGAAGATACTGAATCAACGTTGTTTTCCTCATTGACAAGATGGTTGACTTTGACAAGGCTTCGAAAACATCTTCATCCACTGTTGTTTAAAGCTGAACCTTTGTGAAACTGTTATTACATCTGACACTGCTCCACACCTTTGAACACGCTGCGTCACATCCAGGAGATGTCAACAATTGTACATAGTATTGTCGACCTGGCATGTTCTCACCTTGTCTCAAACTACCGATATATGTGAACACTGGGCAGAGGGCTCCAAGGCAACAGCCGACATGACAATAACATACTGTAACCACACAGCAGGGCTTTCAGTGTTTTTTTAATTTCATTTTCAATCTAACGTTTACGCTGTAAATCTCACTGCTTAACACGTCATCTTTTCAGCTCCATAGCCAAGCATGTGTGAGCTTATCCTTGTGAAAATTAGGTTTACTCTCAGCAAAAGTTCAGTTTTGTTTTTGTATTGTGTACTGTAAATGTTGATTGATAATGGACAACCTGAAATCGTGATGTTGAGCAGTAATTTTAAATAGCAATGCGTGGGCTTTTCAGCTTTATATGTTTGATATCGGCTGCACTGATTCTTTCCTGGTAGACCGTGTTCTTGAATGAATCAGTTCATTATGATGACTAATGTGAATGTACACGGATAAGGAATGTTTTTGATAGTAAACAGTCAATTTATTTCATTTCACATGCTTTGAATCACTGTTTGTTGTGCTGTATATTTCATCTTTGTCATCTTGTGACTGATTTACTGCCTTGGTTTCCTGAATTATTGTAGCTTTTAAAGGAGTCGAATCAACCAGATTTAATAGAACCAAAGTCTTTAGAGTGTTTTTCTTAATGTAGAGCTTACCATAAATATATTATCTGCCTAGATCTGATAAAGATACAGTAGTTATAGCGGATGTGATTTTGTGCCTTGTTTTGTGTGCCTTATCCTTGGTCTCTTAACTCAGCTAGTTTGCTTGCTCTCAAAGATCAGCAATTAACCACGTCCATTTTTGTGATAATTTTTTTCCTTAAGAATAAGAAAGTATATCCTCTATATAAGCTTACTGCTGAAAGTTACTGTAGCATTATCTCTTCCTATTGGTCTTACAGTGGACATCCCACTATTAGCTTGGTTACAGTGTGCTTCTTAATAATTTTTTTAATACTGTAATTTATATGTTATATAATATGTTATAATATGTTATCTAATGGACAAGATGTCATTCTTCTTGCCTACACTGCTCATAAACACATGATCAGCCCAGGTCTGACCACCATGTATGTATAACGTGCTTCTGCTTTGTAAACTCACTGTATCTGTTGTATATTTATATTTTGCTGTATCTTTTAGCTCTGAATGTCAGAACATGCTTCATATATGTGCAACTAAGTCACAATAAAGCTGGAAAATGTGAGGTTGTTCTTAATATGATATTTATGTTGCGGGAAGAAAAACATGGCATTGCATCACTAATTGGCCATGAGATCATAACCCACCTTCCCATTTACTTCAATTATTTTTCAATCCTGTATTAACTCCATTCAACTCAAACACAAAGTTAGCATTTCCATGGAGAGCACTCCCACTGCAAAGCAGTGCTCCAAGGCTTGCAGCACTAATTGTGAGGAGTTTTGTGTTGGTGGCCTTGCAGAGGAATTTGCAATGAATGAAAATACAGCCATTGCGTGTGTGGGCCAAAGGTCAGCTGCATCGCAACTTGGTTGCTACCCCACACTCCGTTCACAACTTTTGAACATTAGTTGATGGCAGTCCTCTCAGAGCCATCACCATGGACTACACACACTTCAAGGCCAAAAGTCTGCATGTACTGTACCATAAGTAGACCACAGAGTGGAGGCACACTCAAACACACCTGTCTTCAATCAGCCACTGGCTCACAGCAAAGTCCCTCTACACCCCCCCACCCCCCACCCCCCCAAAACCACTCCCAATCGGTGCCAATTAGTGTGAAGGTGATTTAGTGTGAAGGTGGTGGTACAGGTCTGACCTGTTACATGTGCAGGTTAAGTAATAAGCTCCTGTGTCTAATAAGGCTCTAATAGGCCTCATTATTCGAAGGAAAAACTGTCAGTCATTACCAGCTGCATGAAGCACATGCTACAGATAACAGCTCTGGGGGAAAACGTGGAATGCAGTTGTGCCATTCAAAGTAGCCTATGCGGGTCATGAAAATGTATCTGTTTGGTAATAATGTAGCAGGTCACAATTAGCTGAAAAACCCACCATGTAGGTAGTCTTTACAATGTAGATAGATAGATAGATAGATAGATAGATAGATAGATAGATAGATAGATAGATAGATAGATAGATAGATAGATAGATAGATTAATTCATTCATTTCATAGGTGTGTTTACTAGTTACCTTTCTGATTGCACATTGAACATATGATAAGGTTATAAATATGGCACCTTTTCAAATATCAAACCAGTGGTTCCCAACATTTTTGTCTTGTGGTCCTTAAAAAAAGGCAGTGTCTAGTTGTGGCCCCTTGTCACATGTCACATGTCTATGAGTTCAACTAGAGAGAAGTTTCTCCTCTAAACTTCAGATTGTTTCATTTAGAGTTGCAACAAGTAACTGAACAGTCCATTAGCCAAGAGACAGAAAATGAATCTGCTACTATTTGGTAAAAAAAAAAAACTGTTCAGTTTTTAAATGTTCAACATTTGCTGGTTGCAGTTTCTCAAACCTGATGATTTCATGCTTTTCTTTGTCATTTGTGATAATAAACTGAATGTGTTTGGGTTTTGGTCTTTTGGTCAGACAAAACCTAAACTGTCACTTTTGGCTGAGGGAAATTATAATTGGGATTTTTAAATATTTTCTGACATTTTATGGACAAAATCTAATGAATCAGTTAATAAAGAAAATAATTGTAATCCATTATCAATAAATAATTGTTAGCTGCAGCCTTAGCTTCATTTAAATACCAGTTCAAAGTTCTAATCTAATTAACAAAGAGTTGAAAGCTTAACTTTCCTATCCCATTATTCAACTCAAGAAGTGGTGCAGGAATGGAAGAGTGCAAGACGGGCTGAAATAAATATAAAATGGGTAATGCAATAAGTTACTTTATATACATACAGTAGCTGGTTATGTATGTGCATGTATAGGCCTACATTACACAGGGGGGTTATTGCACATTGACTGTTACTGTTATTACATGACTGGTGAGCTGTCCATCAGTGTGATCAGAGAGCATGTGGGAATAAATCAGGAAATCAGTCGGCATCAGTCTGTATCTAGAGAGTCAGATAAGTGAAAGATATGATTAAATGTCACATTTAATGCCATTGTATCTGCAGGGTGGGTGTAACAAAAGACTGGTGATGAATGCAGTGTCCTCGGGGACAATGGCTTTTCACCACAGCTGCGGTTCTTCTCCTCGCCACACGGGGGCAGGAGTGCGCCTAAACCCTCATTGGCAACAACTGTTTACGCCAACCAATGGGAACCTTTCGCGACCGAACCGTTACTTCCGGGTGTCTTCAATGAAGAAATCCCTTTGCGTTGGATGCTTTTTGTATTTTCTAAGAAAAAGCTAGAGGCTAAGTGTCAATAAAACGTGTAGAAAATGAACAGAATATTCGGACGCGGGAAACCCAAAGCGCCTCCTCCGAACCTGTCGGACTGTATTGGTAATGTGAGTACTGTCAGGCTGGGGTGTATTGTTGTTTATGTCTTTTTATGTGACCTAAGCTGAGCTAGCATGGTTACCGTCCATGGCAATGCATCACAAACATGACTCTCCTTTTGCATTCATCCTGTTTTAGACTGTGAAAGGGGCATATTTGTAAACCAGACTCACATGTCTCATAGGCTTTTACCCCCTCTGTTTTCCTCGATCACACACACACACACACACACACACACACACACACACACACACACAGCACACAGAGGCAGGGCAGTGTAGCACTGTGTTTGGTCTGCTGGGAAGCTGGAAGTCATTAAACCTCTAATTGATCCTCTCACCCTCCTCCCTCAGGTGGATGCCAGGGCAGAGTCCATAGAAAAGAAAATTGGCAGACTAGATGCTGAGCTTCTGAAGTACAAGGATCAGCTGAAAAAGATGAGAGATGGGCCCTCAAAGGTGGGACACACTCTATCAACCCAAGAAATTATAATAATTATATTTTTCAGACATAGCAAACTAGAATTTTCTTTCTTCCTCGTGAATTGCAGAACATGGTGAAACAGAAGGCGATGAGAGTGCTGAAGCAGAAGAGAATGTAAGTCCTATGTTGTGCAGTCATATCTTTTAACACAGGTAATATATGAACTGGAGCCTGATCAAATAATGTTTACAATTTGTTTGTAGATAAGTATTAACATATTTCAGTACAGAAATGCCAAAAAAAAAACCCTATAACATAGTTTATTAACCAGACATTACTGGCGGGTTTATTTTTCAACTCTAAAATGTTCCACTCAGCATATTTTGTGGTTACAAATCTTTAATAACCTAACTTTAAAACTTGTGTTTATGTTAAAAAAATAATAATAACAATAATAATAAGAGCATAATAGTCTACAGTATAATCTGTATTGTCGTGACAATTTATGTTACAGAGCCAACTGAATTGTTTTTTCACAGGTATGAAGGCCAAAGGGAGCAGCTGGCTCAGCAGTCTTTTAACATGGAGCAGGCAAACTACACAATCCAGACACTAAAGGACACCAAAACAACAGTAAGAGCCACACAGCATTATAATGACGCTGTGGTTTGGATTAGGGTTAGACTGATAATACTTTTGTACTGCTGATTATATTTTGTGGTGAGTCCAAGGTGAGATCAAGGCTAAAAGGTTTAGACTAAGTCATTCAAAGTTTAAATTGTTGCACAGCTCTTCATTCACTAATGAACATTTTTGGCTTGTAGGGTGTTGTCTGAGGCCGTATTTGGTTTCTTGTTAGATAGTTTATAAATTAGTTGTTTTATTTTGCGACAATTATTCAGAGAAAATTATGGTAATGTTGATTTGTCTACTTAGTATATCTAGTGATTAATAGGTCACATGACTAACTAATGGAAAACATTTATATACTGGAAACAGTCACCACCCTGACTGAAGCAAAATAGCCGACAGCCTTTTGTTAATGTGACAGGTTGTGTTTGGATGGACTTGCACAGATTCTTCTCATACAATTTCTCAGGGGACTGTGGCTGAGATGTAATTTTGTGAATTAACTTTTAGGGTTTGATCAGTTAATCAAAATGAAATTGATACATGACAGTTTACAACAGAGAGCAGAGAAACCTGAACTTCATTCTCCAGATGCAGACATAACTTGGTGACTATCAGCTTATGTCTTTCCCAGGGAAGCTCATGCAAATTCAGGAGTCAGACACCAGCCAGACTCCTGGTGTAGATATATAGTCCTTTAACAGTGGCTTGTAACTAAATATACTGTCATTTATTTCTGTTTGCAGGTGGAGGCCATGAAGATTGGTGCAAAGGAAATGAAGAAGGCTTACAAGGATGTCAAGCTTGATCATATTGATGTATGTGTGTTATACGTTTATCTCTGCAGTTATATACCACTACACGGTTTCTGATATTTCCTCAGCAATCATATATGGAAAAGTTTGTCAATACAGAAATAGCAGCGAGTGGGTATTCTATTCAGACAATGTTAGAATCACCACCATTAGATATTTTAGATTTAAAGAAATACATTTTTTTGTACATAGCAAATTGCCAGGTTCCATTATCCTGCTTCAGCCAACTAAAACTAATAATAATAATAATAAATAAAAATCAGTTTTCCAGTTGTGAGATATTTGCTATGTATTTGGACCCCCAGGATTTACAGGACCAACTGGAGGACATGATGGAAGATGCCAACGAGGTGCAGGAGGCCCTGAGCCGCAGCTACGGCACTCCAGAGATAGACGAGGATGATCTTGAAGCAGGTATAGCTGACTGTCTGACATGTTTATTTTGCATTTGCTTTATAAGATATTTGACTTTGATGCTTTCATTTAGAGGAATTAAAAATGAATGATCACAACATTTGAAACCGCAGTGATGAGTGCAGAAGTGTTTGTGGTACTACAGTGACAGTGTAACTGTGGTTTCAGAGCTGGATGCACTGGGTGATGAGCTGCTGCTGGATGATGACAGCTCCTACCTGGACGAGGCCTCAGCCGCCCCGTCGATCCCTGAGGGAATCCCCAGTGACAGCAAGACGAATAAGGTAACAGTCTGCAGAGCACTGTAACATTATACTCAAGGGTCACATGATCCATCTCATGATGTCTGTGGATGCTCATTGGTTGTCACCTAACATTTAGCAACTCAGTTCATGAGTGTCTAATTGCATGGATGCCATTTTAGTTGGTAGACATGCAAATACTAAAGTCAGGATTTTGGGTCTGTGTTAAGAGAAGTTAGTCCTCTGATTTCCAACATGAATGCACAACAGAAATTCTCTTGAATTAATCTTAACTTGCTCTTGTTGCAGGTACAGTACAGGTATTCTGACCATGCGGCAACATGTGGTTTGCAACATGTTGTGATTGCTGACCAATGTCAAAGTAATTTATTTTCATACCAAAGTATATGGTTGTATAGTAAATTTACTAAAATGTGTGAAACTATTGGTATGGTTTGTTTACAAGCAGCTCTGATACGTTCTGACTGAAACGCCATGCTGTTAGACATGAAGCAATCAAAAGAACAATAACACTTGAAATATAAGTGTCTATTAAGAGGTTTGTCTGCTTGTGTTTGTGGTTAATTACGTTTTCTTCTTTTGTTTTCAGGACGGTGTTTTGGTGGATGAGTTTGGCCTCCCACAGATTCCAGCCACATAAACACAAGGAATGGATGAACAACTGCACTTCACCAGAAAACACTTTTATATGTAGAGTAACATTTGTACATGCAAAAACCATTTGACCTGAGAACACTACGATTTTGAAGCTGTCCTGGTGTTGGGTTGTGTATTGTTACTACTACTGTGCTAGCATGTGGCCTTGTAACATACTGATCCCTTTTTTAAAAACATAATTCTTCTTTTGTCCCCTTCAGCCTCCTGTGTAACACTTGTCAGTCTTATTCATCACCAGTATTACCTAGTATTAATTTATTTTTGTCTGTTGCTAGTTTCGTTTTTTGTTTAGACATTAAAATTTTGTTTGAGTTCTCAAAAAGTGGAGATGATACCCACTCTGCCTGCTAAAAATGTTTGCAGGTTATTTGAAACATGCAAAATAAATAATGTGTTTTCATTTAACCTTCTGTCTTTGTGGTTTCTTATTTCTGTGGTTTTAACTGCACTCACAGACCTTGACTGATACGCCGCTGGCCAAGAAAACACAGAATCCTGCTCTTAATCAGGAGGTGCACTACTATTATTATTTTGTGGTTATTTATTATTTGTAAAGGTTTGACCAGGACCTGGCTGAAAGGCCCTGGGGCAGAACTGAGAGGTGGCTGGCTTTTGAGACGCCCACACATACACATTTTCTCAACAAGGTTTGCACAGACTGCCAGAAACCAAGCTGTATTCACCTGCTGTAATAATACCCTGCGCTAGGTTTACTGCATGTACTATCTGTTGTACAGTAAGCATAATATCAACTGCAATATTAATACCATGAGAGTAGTTTTTGGGAAACATGTCTTGTTTTGCGATGGACCTGAGACCTCAACACACTGCAACTTAAGAAAACATCCCTGCAAATTCACAAGACACGACAGAGGTGTTTCCAGGGGACACTAAAAAGTAACAAACCTGGTGTGAGACTTGTTCAATACCCATTTGTGACTTTTGTAGTTAAAAGCAAAGAATAACAAGTGCATCCCATCCAGGTTCATCACTTTTTTTCTTCTTAAGTTATTTTTGCTTAGCAAGAGTGAGAGAGAGACAGGAAAGTCAGGGAGCGAGAGAGACAGCCACGGGTTGGACTCGAGCTTGTACCGCTGCGGTTAGGATTAGGCCTTCATCCCCAATGCTAACTGAAAGTATCTATGTACAGCACGGGGGTGAGGTAGTGAGGGGACTACATGTTTCCAAAGTTTCTCAAACAATAACTTGAAATATTATTAATCTACTTGAGTGGTTTCTCTAGTTATTTTATAATGAATAATCTAGTCACAGGTAGTCTGTAACGTGAAGCACAGTTTGAAGACTAGGTGGAGACAACATGTTTTAGATTCAAAAGTCCGACTCTGGTGGGACTCGAACCCACAACCTTTGAATCGCCTCTCAAGTGCTTGACTAGAAGTCCAATGCGCTATCCATTGCGCCACAGAGCCAGTTGCGCCAAAATCATTTGCACAGTCACGAAATTTCTCCTATTCTAAATAAGTTACAAGGAAAACTCTAAAACTGGTTTTGGACACTTTTGGGGATATCTGAACGTGACATCAAAGTTATGTTTTAAAAACAAAATGGGCTATGTATTTATCAAATCCATTATTTGTTTAAAATGTGTGCATCGTTGGTATGATCAGTTTTGTTGTGTACATATTTGCTTTGTTTGTGCTGTTCTGTTGATTAAAAAAATTGAATAGAATTTTAAAAGAAAATAAAAATAAAAGCACCGGAACTACTTCCTGTGCCCCGACGGAAGTACTTAGTGAACAGCAACAGTTAGCTGTGTGGTCTATGTTGACGTGATTAAAGGACTCTTTAAGGAAAATGTCAGAGCAAACGATAACAGTGACAGTTGCATACGGTAACAATATTTTTTTAAGATGTTACACGACAGTTACCAGATGATAGATAGAAATAAAAATGTAAGTTTACTAACAACCATCGCTCGAGTAGCTTGGAAATGGTTAGCTAATGTAGCTCTACCGAACATTTGGCTCCGTTGAAAATACTTCATCCCTGGATACACTTAAAAATCTTGAATGAAATATTACCCTTTAATGAACCTATTTTACACTAATATTGACTCTATTATTGTTATATGTTTTAATCTGACGTGCACATTTGTTTTACAGCTCACGTTACATACAGTGTTTGTCAAGAAAATGTGTAAATAAAATGCATCAGGCTTTGTTCTAGAGACTTAAACTTGCGTTATTAACGAAAAGTCAATATGGGATTTATTTCTCTATTTATTTTGATGTGCATCTTACTGAAAAATCATTTTCCTTTTAATATAGTGTGTTCAAATACTTTGCCATTGTGTCAGGTAACATTTTCTAACTTACTAACTTTAAATTCAGTTCAAAAGAAATAAAGCATCATTTAGAGGTTACTGCGGCTGAATTGATATATCCGAATGGTCATACTCATGTCACAGTCATCCACATTGTTTCAGAAACATTGTATTTGCTAGTGCTTTTAATTTCAGCTCTAGTTTCTTTCTCTTACTTAAGGATCTACTAAGAACAGCATCACATTAACGGGTCATGATGATGCTAAGGGTCCGACTGTCAAAGACTTGTCAGATGCTCTCACTCAAGCCACTGGAGTCCCAGCAGCCTCACAGAAACTCATCTTCAAAGGTAGACTGCAGGTCTCCTTTCTTTCACAGCCAAATGAGCTTGAACATCATATTATATTTACAGCTCTAACCTGGCCTTGATCATTCTGGCAGGAAAATCACTGAAGGACATGGAGGAGAGTCTGTCCAGCTATGGAATAAAAGAGGGCTCGAAACTCATGATGATTGGAAAGCGAGTAAGGCATTTTACATGTGTATCTGATGTTTGTCTTTATAAGTGATCACATACTGACAGTAATCTCCAAACAGAACAGTCCTGAGGAAGAAGCTGAACTGAAGAAGCTGAAAGACATTGAGAAATCTGTGGAGCAGATGGCTAAAAAGCTGGAAAAGGTGGATGGAGAGTTGACTGGACTCAAGAATGTAAGCATTTTTTTTGTAGTTTCAAAGTTGCATATTTGTCCTGTGCTGATTTGTTCTGTTTTTAGATGTGTCTGTGTTTTGATTGTCACCCGTCTGTTCATATTTTTTCAGGGCTTCCTGGCCAAAGACCTCCAGGCAGAGGCGCTGGGTAAACTAGATCACAGAGTGAAAATAGCAGCAGAGCAGTTCATGAAGATTCTGGAGCAGATAGATGCTATGGTAATCTATTTTGGTTTAGGTGTTTATTTTTGAGTGCATGTATTATTCATGTGTCCAATATAGCTAAACCCAAATTGCCCCTCTTCTAACAGAGTATCCCAGAAAATTTTAATGATTGTAGAATGAAGAAAAAGGGACTTGTAAAGACAGTGCAGGTAAACTTTTTTTTCAGTGTTATCAAAATGTTATGATTGAAAATCACTGAAAATACTGAATATTTTTATTAAGTGTGATTGTTTTCTGTCAACAGGATTTCCTAGCTCAGTGTGACAAGATCGAAGCCTGTATATCAGACCACCTATCAAAGATCCAGTCGAAAAACCTTGCCCTGGCAGAGTAGGGCTGCAAAGACAAAGTCTCCCATATCATGTGCTATACATTGCTCTGTGAGCAACTCCAAAGTGTACAGAAAGCTCCAGGTGTGGAGCAGATCCTTGTCTATTTATTGTTGGTGTGATGTGTATGAGAAATCCCTCATCACAGAGAATCCTGTGAACAGAAGGAGGCTGGTCGATGACACTGATGCTTGGTGCACCACATACATTCTCTGGGTCAAAGGCAGATGTGAGGTGTTTTCTGAGATATTTTAACCACAGGCATCAGGGGTGCTTTGAATTGTGGAAAATTATGTAGATCCCTTTAAAGCATCCAAAACTGGTGATCAACAGAACTACCACTGCCAAATATCTGTGAAATTATCCATGAGGATGTCAGAAAACTGAAAAATTCATCAGTTCATCACCCAGTAAATGACAAACAATACAATAACACAGAAAACACGGTTTTTGTTTTGTTTTTTCCTCATTGTGATGTACCAACTGCTGAGTGTTGCATATGGGAATTTGTACACACATGACCAAAAGTAGATGGACACATGAACATTACATTACAAAATGATAATAATAATAATAAAAAATAATAATTTGCTATGCTAACAGCCTCCGCTATTTTTAGGAGCACTTTCCATAGGACAAAAGGTGTTGGGGGGGTGGGGGGGTTGAGGTCAGGGCTATGTGCAGCCTGGTCAAGTTCTTCCACATTAAAACTTTTTTACGGATCTCAATATGTGCACAATAGTACTGTCATTTGCCTTTCCCATTAAGTTAGAAGCACACTATTGTCTAAAATATTATTGTATACTAATTGGAAATAAAACTAGAGCTGAAAACAGGTACAAATGTGAAATATTTTCTAATCCCATTTTCTCATTTGTGAGGATTTGCTGCATTTCTTTGTCTCGTGAGAAGATGAGTATCTCTGGGTTTTGGACTGTTGGTTACAACAGAAAATTTTTTGACATTAAGAATGTGGACTTTTTCTTTTCAATTTTACAGACTAAAGCACTAAGGAAGGAAAAAAAAAAGTTTAGGTGAGCTGCAGCCAAAGACCAAAACTACACAACTGTCCACATACTTTTGGTCATATAGTGTATGTATTTATTATTCAATCTACATTAAGAGTCAGCACCAAACCAGCACATTTTATTTAATCCAGTGAGTGATCCCGTGTGTGTCTTTGAAATGTGTGTGAACTGTGGAATTGTACTTGCTTTAAACCATCACTAAGGAGGAAACCACCTATCTATTTTCCTTTGTTTTAAAAATAAAGACTTTTTGAAATATGAACAGAGCATTGGTGATTCACCTCAGAACACAATTTCATCTCAAAACTTTAATTTCCTACAAAATACAAAGGATTCAGTGAAACCAAAGCAGTCACAATAACAGATCTTGTTTCAGTTTATTTCCAGCTTTATCCATGGGGTCTTTACATACATCTTTACTAGCTTATACAGACCCTTAGTGGTGTTATCACAGATGTGCAAATGAGCTTTAAGAGTAGGGTTGAGGGGTTGGGGGTGGGGGGGGCAGAGGTATGGTCCAAAAAGCAGCTTAAATGACCTTCAGTAGGCTACACCACGGTGACGCTTCATCAAATGACATGATGTAACTGTTCTAACAAGTGGAAACCCATAAACAATACACAAGATGAACAGTATAAACCTCATCCAGTGAAATCTCTGTCACTAATCGTCTTTATCCTTTGCACCGTGCTTTAAAATACGTGTGAATGCTACATAGTTGAAGTTGCCTTTCTTGTCAATCGGCGCCTCGCGGAAGAGCTCGTCCACTTCTTCATCTGTGAACCTGTCACCCATCGTGGTGAGCAGCTCCCGTAGGTACTCCTCCTGGATCATACCTGTAGGGCAATTAGTAAGACAAAATGTCAGTTTGCTGGTTACAGTCACTAAAGTATAAGGATTTGCTGTTCCACATCAGTGTAACTGCCACAAAACTTTCATTTCTTTCTTTGATGTCACTTTGTGATGGGTATTTTTCAAATTTTTCTTTCAAACATGTAGTGATAGCACTTGTTCAGAGACATACAAGGTGCAGTGCACACTTGTAATGTATAGAAAACTTTACTTCTGTCTCGCGTAGCACTTAACCTCACCTGTGCCTTCCTCATCGAAGCAGGCAAAAGCGTTACGTATCACGTCCTCAGGATCTGTGCCGTTCAGCTTCTCTCCAAACATGGTCAGAAACATGGTAAAGTTGATTGGACCTGGCGCTTCATTCATCATGGCCTCCAGGTATTCATCTGTGGGGTTCTTACCTGGGAAAAGAACAGGTCAGGGAAATGAGGACAACATTTACTGGCTCTCTCTTGAATGTCTTGCAATGAGGTAGTTGTAATAACAATTTGAAGAAACTGAATTTTTTGTACAGGTTTAATTTCAGCACATTTACAATATAAAATGTTTTCACTGGTATTGCCACCATTTTCTTTGTTAAAAGGAATTGAACATTTTCCACATCACCATCTCAATGTGTGTAAGTATATGGTTAAGTGTACCTAATGATGCCAGCATGTCATGAAGGTCTTCTTTATCAATAAAGCCATCCCTGTTTTGGTCGATCATGTTGAAAGCCTCCTTGAACTCCTGGATCTGGGACTGATCAAACATAGCAAACACATTGGAGGTGGCACGCTGAGGACGCTTCTTGGTGTTCTTCCCCTTGGCCCTTTTGCTCGACATGTTGGCAGCTGGTAGTTCCCCCCTCCTGTAGCACAAATGATATGAAGGCTGTGAACTAGAGCTTAACAATGTGATTAAAAAAAAAATGTGCGTGAAGTACATATTGATAACAATAAATGTTACAACATGAAATTATTTCGAGAGTAAACTCAGTAAGTTGTTCGTAAAGTTAGCATTTCAGTTGGTTCAATTTGGCTTATTGTACAGCCCTAATTCCAACAGTCATAGGATTCACAGAGCAGATACCAAATAACAATGTTAAGGTTACTTTTATCAACAGAATTTATGAAACACCAATTCCTAATTTGAGATATTTTGAAAAAAAAAAATAAATAAATAAACTTCTATTTTGCTGAATAAAAGCAGCTCGCTCAGCTTTACAGTGTACATTAGATGTTTTAAAAAAGAACACACACACACACTCTCTTACACTTATTTAGTGTATTAAATGGGAGATTAAATTGATTTTTCCCCACCTAGACCACATCAGATCAGGTCTAGATCAAAAACCACTACGTTTAGACTTGTCAAATCTGGACTACATTGACCTACAAAGGCTAAAAACTTTAAAATATAGTTTCACATTTGTGAAACTTGGAAATCATTAGCAAACTTCCGCGTCGTAAGGGAATTGTGTTGTAGCAGCATCACTCCATATTATGCTAGCGTTACCTTGCCACAATGAATAAAATATACGCAAATGACAATTAAAGAGTTATCGATGTGCCAAAATCGTTACCCACTATTGTGCTGTAACATATATCTGCTCCGCATCGTAAATAACGCGAACAAACCTTTTATTTATTAGCTAGCTATAGCCCAATGTTGACCTAAATAACTCACTGACCAGGCTAACTTCAGAGAGCTAACCGAGATCAATTCACAGTTAAAATATAAACCTTTTATATCCTCAAATTAAGGGGCACAGGATAAATGAGAAATAAATCACCAACCTCAGAAAAATACAGCCGTTGTTAGCCAAAGAGCTGAGCACACAGGTACCAGAGCATCCACAGGCTGATGATGAGGAACCATCAATGTTTTATTTCCTCTTCCCCAAACTGACCAATCAGAGCCGAGCTGGGAGATACCATCAGTCTGGAACATTCCATGTTTTCTACAGGTGTACTTTATGATGATGTTTTTTTTCTTCTTTTTGTCAAGGAGGAGATTAATTATTTTAATAGTAACGTGTGAGGGTACTGGTAAAAGATGATACACAAATACAGCTTCATAAATACAACTCTTGTTTTAACCTTTGTCCAAACCACAAACGCTGTGGTTGATTTGTTTCATCGCCAGGTGGCAGCAATTAGCTACTTGACAAACGTGTGTAAATTGCTCAAAGCAGGAGTTTAGTTGCTTTTTTTGCGTGTGAATATCCAATTGACATACAAACGACTCGTTTCTACTTAATTTTGCACTCTATGATGACTGCAGATTGGTCATTAACACGTAAGTTGAGAAACTGAACTTTTTATGAAATAGATTTTTTTTTTGGTGTCTGTTTTGGCGTCAAAACTCAGTGCAGCCCTGCCATTAGGGTTGGCAGGAATACATCTTGGAATACGTGTTAATTTACAGTAAGTTTGTAATTTTTTCTGCTTATACAGTGCTGTAATGGCTCCAGTGGTTTTTGCCCGTCGTCTAAACTATAGCTGTTTATTTGAAGACTTTTTTTTTTAGAAGACTAACTAATTTCATCCCACGCTAACAGTCACTGGGTTGCTGTGATTCTTCTTCCCTTTACTTCTACTAATTTACTGTACCTACTGCACACTAGAAATCCCCATATTGCCCCTGCAGTACTGCACACAGCGGAGGGCCTAGCCTAGGAGAGGCTCCTCAGCTCGCCTGCTGGCCCTTCTCATGGTCTCATGGTCTAAATTTAAAACTGTCGCAGCCTTAAAAGGTCCTGACGGTGTCTTGTGCATTCTGCCGAGTGGCAGCATTATTTTTGTTCTGTGGACTGCCGTCCTGTCCACTGCCCCTCACCCTGCTGCTTTGCCTGGACCCGGACTTGCTTTAGCTACATTTGGAATAGCACACCCTTTCTCTTATTTTCAACGGTTGTGGATTGGTGGATTCCTACTTGTGGTGAGTGATTGATATATATATATATATATTATTCATAACAATATCTCTAATAGAATTGTTATTGTAGTTTATGTCATTTGGTCATCTGAAACAGTAAGGCCGGAGGCCTACTTTCAGCAACTTTAATTTTTTTG